CTGTCTGTCTGTCTCTCTGTCTCTCTCTTTCTCTGTGTGTGTCTGTGTATCTCTCTGTGTGTATCTCTCCTGTCTTTCTTTCTCTCTCTTTCTGTCTCTGTCTCTCTGTGTGTATCTCCTTCTCTCTCTCTCTCTCTCTCTCTCTCTCTGTTTCTGTGTATCTGTGTGTGTGTGTCTCTTTCTGTCCCTCTCTCATTCTGTATCTCTCTCCTTCTGTCTCTCTCTTTCTGTCTCTGTCTGTCTGTCTCTCTGTCTCTCTCTTTCTCTGTGTGTGTCTGTGTAGCTCTCTGTGTGTATCTCTCCTGTCTTTCTCTCTCTTTCTGTCTCTCTGTGTGTATCTCCCTCTCTCTCTCTCTCTCTCTCTCTCTCTCTGTGTTTCTGTGTATCTGTGTGTGTGTGTCTCTTTCTGTCCCTCTCTCATTCTGTATCTCTCTCCTTCTGTCTCTCTCTTTCTGTGTCTGTCTGTCTGTCTGTCTGTCTCTCTCTCTCTCACACACACACACACACAAACACACAGACACACACACACACACACAGACACACACCGATTGAATGGCTCTCTTCGGTTGCCCGAGTTACTCCGCTTCGCGCTACTCGCTGCCGACCCCCGGGTCCCGCAACTACCGCATCCTCTTCCCCAGCCCAGCCCCGTAGAAGCCGCGATCGCGCGTGGACTTCCTCGCCCTTGCCGGTGGGCCCAGCGGGGCTCCCCTCCTTCCGCAAGGCGAGGTGAGCAGATCGGGGCTTCCCCGCGGAAGAAACGCGGGTGGGATGGTGGTGGAGGGGTGTGGATTCGCGAAAGACCCACCCACCCACCCGCGCGCGGCCCCCCCTCCGCGGACCAACCATCCACCCATCCATTCAGCACCCGGACAGCGACAACTGGATCAGTCCCTTCCCTTCCGTCGTCGCTCAATGATCCGGGGGTTAAAGACACCACCACCCACTGCGAGACGCGTGGACTCCCGCTTCCACAGGCCTGCCGGTCGTGGGAGAAGGGAGTCCCGGGGCCGCGCCCGTTCCTCCTGCCTTGCCAGCCGGGCGCCGCCGGGTGCGGCTTCCCTGCCAGGCGGGGGCGGTGTGGCGGATCGCCAGCTGCTCTACCTGCGGCGAGCGAAGGGTTAAGGCTGGCAAGGCATGCCCTGCCCGCCGCCTTCGGCCTGCCAAGCGCTGGGCGCGGGCAAAGACAGAGAGAGAGAGCCGGGCGCCGGTTGCGCTGCCCGGGCGGAGAGGCGGCGGCAGGTAAAGCGCTGCGCCAGGCGGGTTTGCTTTTGGTCCCAGCTTGGATCGGGCGCAGCGATTCTTCCCTTGGGGGGGGAGAGGGGGCTTCCTGGCCGAGGAGGGGCATCCTGCGTGGGGGAAGCCCGGGGCGGTGGGGGGCCACTTTCCACGTGCGGCCGTGGGAGTTTCGCTTAGCAACCTGGATTTTGAGCAGATGCCTTTTATAGTCAGACCGTGTATCATGGAGACTGGCTTTGATGATGGATTGTAGGCGTCGTGTATTATTTGATGCTAGAAGTTTGAAGTGTGTGTGTGTGTGTGTGTGTGTGTGTGTGTGTGTGTGTGTGTGTGTAGTACATACACACACACTGAGCGCTTTTATTTGCTCTGGTCGCTGGTCTAAGACTGTAATAATCAATTGTTGTTGTTCTTGTTGAGCTCTGTTGTGGTGGTAAGTCGAGGGCTGTGCCTGTGTTTGGGGGTTCAGCCAGAGAGAGAATAGAATAGAAATAGAAATAATAGAAATAGAAATANACTTTTAACTGGGTGGAATTCTGATGTCATTTCCAGAATTGGGATTAACACAGATGTGCTAAGATGTCTGCTTTATTAAATTGGAACTTTAAGGCTTGTTTTGCCTTGGACTGTGATTTAATTCTACATGATACTTGGAACACTGATATACTGTTGATCTGAAGAAGCTTCTTGGATGAGAAGTGAAACGCTTTCAAGCCAAGCCAAACCAAGAAAGTCCAGTGGCCTTTTGGAAAAGCACCTTTGGGATAGTCCTCACCTGGGTGATTGAGAATCTCCATAAGACATTTTAGACTTGTGGACAGAATTCTGGGAGTTGAAATCCACAGGTCTTAAACTTGCCAAGTTTGACAAACATTGTTTCCATATTTCTTCTCCATGACAATTCTTTTGAATCTATCCTCCAAGATTTCTTTTGTCAGAACTAAATATATTTTATTCATTTAGCTTGTGAAACATGTACGAGATAACAGGTATAAACATGGACATGAACACAGGAAATGGGGACGAATAAATGGGGACAATAGGACAGGGAGGGTAGGCACACTGGTGCGCTTATGCACGCCCCCTTTACGGACCTCTTAGGAAAGGGGTGAGGTCCAGTTTGAGCTAGACAGTTTGAGGTTAAAGTTTTGAGAATTTGAGGATGTAACAAGGGAGTCGGGTAGAGCATTCCAGGCGTGGACCACTCTGTTGCTGAAGTCGTATTTTCTGCAATCGATTTTGGAGCAGTTTACCTTGAGTTTGTATCGATTGTTTGCCCTTGTATTATTGCGATTGAAGGTGTCATTGACAGGTAGGACGTTGTAGTAGACAATTTTGTGTACTACGCTTAGGTCAGACCGTAGGCGGCGTAGTTCCAAGGTTGTCCAAGCCCAAAATTTCGAGCCTGGCGGTGTAAGGGATTCTGTTGTGAACAGAGGAGTGGAGGACTTTTCTCGTGAATTACCTCTGGACTTGCTCAATGGTGTTAATGTCCAGAATACAGTGTGGATTCCAGGCAGATGAGCTGTATTCGAGAATTGGTCTGGCAAAGGTTTTGTATGCCCTAGTTCGCAGTACAGTGTTACCGGAGAAGAAGCTTCGCAAAATTACTCACCTTATTTGGTCTCCTTACATAGGAGTTTTGATTTGAAACATGTATTTGGAACCACNTCTTATTAAATTGGAACTTTAAGGATAGTTTTGCCTTTGACTCTGATTTAATTTTGCATGATATTTGGAATGCTGACACACTGCTTATTTGGTATATTTTATATACTTACTTATTTATTTACTTTTCTACTGGGATTTATATGGCACTCCAATCCACCTAGAGCGTCGCAGTTGCAGAGGAGCAGCCGGAGAAGCAGGTTGTCCCCATTGTAGCTCCTCCCCAACAGGAGTGGAGCTCCAGGTGACGTCATCAGGGCCCACCAACGGAGAAGAATCCTCGAATCAGGTAGGTGGAATAGCGGCACCGCAGCGGATTGAGGAGGTGCTAGGCCAGGCTGCCGGGAGGTGGTGGCCAGGTAAGAGACGCCTGATTGGGAGAAGGCCTCAGAGGGTAGGCAGTGCCTTAGTTGACCCACGTGGCGCTGCCACTCACTGCCATCGGGAAGGCTGACCCTGTAGGAACAGGGACCAGTTACTTTGGTGATGGTGGCAGGCACCCACCTTGGCCCCCTTGTGAAACCTCTTGCAAAAACCATGTCCCCCTCCCCGAATTGGCATGGAGGAACCCCCAGGTTGTGAGGCTGCAAGGCATTATAAAATGGGTGCAGCCTTCTAGAGTGGTTTGCAGGCAGCGGCTCATCAGCAGCTCTGTGGGGCTTTTGTTAGACAGGGGACATGGAGTGGAATGTTGACCGAGAAGATAAGCCGCCACCTTGTCCGGCCAATCTCCAAGGTCCATTCATCCCAATGCCTCTTTGGCTGAGAAGACAGCACGTTATGCTCAGCCATTGCAAGCAGGGTGGTAGGGGGCTGTTGGGGTGTGACGGAT